GACAACACCAGAAGAACTCCCCAGACGTCCCACATATCTTCAAACTGATTCAAACTGCCATACTCTTCATAAACTGCCATACTCTTCATAAACGTATTGTAAAACTCATTAAAAGGCTCTGGCAGCACATTTTAAACATGGCACTAAAAACAACAGATTTCACTTGACACTTGAAAACACTTCACATTGACAAATAAAAAGACAAAAGTGACGCATTTTTAAGCCCCTGATGCCCGCTCGGCTCCAAAAGGCCCCTAAAAGCTCCGCTCTCTCCGCGAAGTCTCCAAACGCTTCAGCAGATAATGATAGTCTCAGTCTCCGAGATGGAAGCGGCCAATTATAATGTGACGTACGGCTTTATTTATGATGCGTTAAGAGGAGACGCGAGCGGTCGGGGCGACGTTTGATGACACAAAGTGCAGGCTCATTCGGCAAATTAAAGGCTGAGTGAATACGCGCTTGACAAATGGAAGGACAAAAATTGGCAGCAGAAAACGTGCTATTAGCTAAACAATTTATGTCAGGAATAAACAAAAAATAGGCGAAAGTTTGGAGTTCCAGTGCTGAGTGTAAAACAAGTTTAAACAATTGGGACTTAATCTGGAAGTAGACCAGGACTAGACCAACACTAAACCAGGATTAGGCCAGGACAAGACCAGGACTAAACCAGGATTAGGACAGGACTAGACCAGGACTAGACCAGGATTAGGACAGGACTAGACCAGGACTAAACCAGGATTAGGACAGGACTAGAAAAGGATTAGACCATGATTAGGCCAGGACTAGATCAGGATTAGACCAGGACTAGAAAAGGACTAGACCAGGATTAGGCCAAGATTAGGCCAGGACTAGGCCAGGACTAAACCAGGACTAAACCAGGATTAGGCCAGGACTGGACCAGGACTAAACCAGGATTAGACCAGGACTAGACCAGGACTAAACCAGGACTTGGCCAGGATTAGGCCGGGACTAGACCAGGACCAAACCAAGTCTACCTCAGGACTAAACAAATATGTCTTCAAGTTTGGGGAGAAGTTTAAGGGAAGTCTAAGGCTGTGTCCACACCATATAAAAATTAGGACTAAACACAGAACTCGAACAAAAACTAGACCAGAACTAGACCAGGACTGGACCAGGACTGGACCAGGACTGGACCAGGACTGGACCAGGACTGGACCAGGACCAAACCCAAGTCTATATCAGGACTAAACCAAGTCAAATGTGAACACTGCCTTAGATGAACCATGACGAACGTTGTTTTGTGTTTAACTTTGTAAAATACTAGTGCATAATGGAAGTCTGGTGATCTTGGTAATATGGTATTTAGTCCACCCAAACATTTGACAATTTGACAATAATAAATAAATAATGCAATGACAAATGTAAAGGTGCATTAACTTTTCGGATGGAGGGTCCAGTTTGTCTCCATGGAGATTGTGTAGCTTTTCCTAAAATATCACAAAGCATGGCATTAAACTTTGCTTCATTGCGATGAGGAGGTAGCGTCACCAGGCCAAGTTACAGGTCAGATCTGTGGAAAGGCGACCCCACTCACATTAAGCAAGAATACATGTTTTTTTAGTGTGTTTTTGAGCACATCTGTAGTGAAATAAATGCAAAATCAATATGTTTAAAGGGCTTGTTTGAGAGTTTTCCCATGCATTTGAGCAAAATAATCAGGAACTGTGCATTAGCATACTAGTCACTGCAAAACTCTGCTGTGGGCCCTTAAGGTTAGTAGTAAAAAGTGCTTAGAAACTCACTGCGATGATGTTCAAAATGCAAAATGTAAGTGAAGAATATTTGGGCTTTGGATAAGAAGCTCTGTTTTTTATGTTTTTGAGGTTGTAAAAATCAGGTACAGCACCTTTAACACCACACTACGGAACATTTTACATAAAGTGACAGCATCTCCACAGAGACAATAATATGACAGACCCTCCAGCAGAAAAGTTACAATTAAAGTCCACTAAAGGCAGACAGGACGAGAATGACACTTTTTAGTTTTAATGAAAGCACTCAGACTTTTTTTCAAATCTCAAAACGACGCCGTCTGAAGTCACGAAGAAAAGGGAGGTGGAAAAACTACCAGTGCCGGAATGAGCTCGGGAGCAGCGTCACGCACCATTTAACCCCGAAATGTTCATTTGGATTTGCGCTAACAGAGGCAAAATGGACTCGGCGCGGGCTTATGGGCGGATGAGCCAGGTCTGCAACGCGCGCGCACAAAAACGCACTTTGAAAGACTGAAAAAAAGTGAAAATGAGAAAAGTACAAGCGCACGAGAGGGAAATGGGATATGAAATTGTGGTTTTTGGGTCCATCTTTGTGATAACGGAGAAGGCCATAGAGCGTTATAGAAGTGATACGAGCACAGAGAAACCAGGCACGAATGCTGCTGTTTACCGATGGGAAGGAGATTTGTGGATAGTGCCGCCATAGGACATGATAAAACTCTGTGTGGACAGCCGTCTGAAATACCAATGGTCTAACAAAAAATATATAAAAAAAAAAAAAAAAAGCTAAGTCCAAATGTTTTCATACCCAAGCTCAAAGCAATAACCCAAAATGAAACAAAAGATTTCTTACTGTTTTTGTGAATCATGTTTGAACTTTTGTGCCATCATTTCACTGCTAATGTTAGTTATATTGACACTTTGCAGCTGATGTCATCGACGTTCCTTGGGGGTGTGATGCAAACTGGAGGCACTGCTCTGTCTGAAGCTCTGTGACTCAAGTTAGACTTTAATTTGAGCTTTGTTTTATCACAGTCTGACCTGAAAGAGAAAATCAAACTCCTAAACACGATCATAAATGCTTACCGTATTTTTCAGACTACAAGCCGCGCTTTTATTTTTCTTGGTTTAGGTTGTCCGGGAACTTATACTTTGATGCGACTTATATATTAAAATTTTCAGTATCTAGTATTACTATTACTCCTGTACCATTGTCATTTCGGAGTCTACTGCGCATGTCTCCTGTTCTGCTGCAAATAGTGAAATATTCAGTCGAAAATGGTAATTGAGCAGCAGAAAGAAAGTTTGGAGTGAGCGAGAAACTTGTGAAGGACTGGGGTAAAGTGGGGATGGAAAACAAAGCTTCATGGCAACCGGGCGGGTGCGCCATGTAACCTTCCTGGAAGTCACTGCGTGAATCGACAAAGCCTGAACTTCAATGACAACCGAAACCATCCTGTAGGGTTTCAGAAAGGCCGCAATAATTCTAACTGGAACTGAAGGCGAGTCTGACGACAGCTACACAGAAGAGGAAGTGGTTTACCTCACGGATCTAAGGTTTATCTCCGGAGGTCGCACAGAAGTCACACAGAGGATGAAGAATTTAGTGGATTTAGTGATTTGGAGTGAGATCGTGAGTTTGTTAAACTTTTGTTATGTTGTTTATGCTATAATTATCTGTATAACTTTCAACATATTAACTTTCAACATATTAACGTCTATTCAGCCTGTTGTTCTCTGTTCTATTGTTATTACTATAACTTGCCTTTTAAGATGAAATGTCGATTCCTGGTCTCTTCTGGATTTTCAAAAAAAAGATACTACAGGTAATTTCAAACAGTCCAGTTCCCATGCTTTGATAAATGTGCGTTCATTCTGACCATATTTATTGAAGAAAGTAATATAACAGGTAGGGAAATATTGCTGTTAACATTATGCACATCGGGCTTTTAGCTAAAATAAGAATGAAAAATTGATGTGACTATTGTCACAATTAACAAAAAACGGTAATAATCCACAATTAATTTAGCTGTACATTAAAAGTTGAAATATGTCTGCTGATCAATTAAAAGTTACTAACAAACAGAACGCAAAAAATTATATACTAACTACTATAATATAACATAAGTAAATATAAATATAATAAGTATTTGGTTTGGATTACAAAACACTTTTTTGCAAATTGTAATTGCTCACAAATTTGAATAATAATATCTTTTATTTCTATTAATAGTATGCAAAAATCAAGTAACATAGGATCATAGAATCGTGGGATGATTGATTTGAGCGATTGACGATAGCTCAGATGAAAACTGATAACACTCTTTAAAGCCAATAGCCAAGACAGGAGAGTATCAAGTAATGATTCAGACAGTAGTGAATCAAGTACATCAGATAGTGAATTTTTCTAGGAAAAAAAACAAGAATGTCCAAAAAAAAAAATTTCTTAGAGGAAGAACCTTTTGAAACCCCTGATGCACAAAGGACCAATTCACAATCCAGACATCTTCTTAGTCCTTGGAGTACTTCAGAAAAGTTATAACTTGTGTCTTATGCCATTGTGATGCTGTGATAGACTCTATGCATCATTGCAAGTGCATACCACTGACATGAATCTACTTGTTCTGGCATCATCTATGATTTCACGTACTGACCAGTACACTAACAATATCCCTTTGCTTCAAGGAAAAAAAACTGTGTCACTGATACAAGGCTTTCTTTTTCAATAGATAACTGATAATACTTGAAGCATGAATATGTGAACTTTGATAGATAGTAAACTGAAGTGTGACTGATCAGTTCATTTTGTAAGGTCCTCTGACGATTCATTTTATAAAATACATTTCCCCAGAAAGTGCGACTTATAATCTGGTCCGACTTTTATATGTTTTTTTCTTCATTTGGCTGGTGCGACTTATACTCCGAAGCGACTTATTGTCCGCAAAATACAGTATATCTATCACAGGCTCCTGAAATGTGTCGTTTAAATCCATTTAGTATTTTTCTTTCTTTTTTACTAACTTTTTTGGTAGTTATTGCTTATGCGTGCATTGTGTCTCTACGTTAACTACTGAACATTGCACCATAGAGATACATGTAGAATACCCCAACTGTGTCACTGCAAAGTATCAATAGATAACTTATACTTTGACAATAGTGAACTAGATAAAACTGAAGACTGCAGTTTTTGTTTTTAGGTCTCTGAACACAAAATGGATGCCACAAAATAAGGTCAAGAACCATTACATTGATCATCATTAGGGTATGAATCATTTTGGGCTTAACCTTATATGGCAATTGGCAATAAAAGAAAATATGATTTGTCTATTTCCGTGAAGAGACAAAAATGGCATTAAGTGTACAACATGAACAACCTCTTAAACCCCTCGACCAGTGCTATTGATATAACTGAATGAGATATGGTTATGTAATAATCGATTAGCTGATTTGTACAGAAATCAAACCAACTCTGAAGTCCTGATGCGTAATACATTTTCGATCTTCCCTCTTTCCGAATCCCGCTGTTGTGCCGGTGACAGTCATTCCCCACGTACAAAAAATATTCTATGAGTTCACGTCAGTAGTGTTTGGGTGCGGGCCCCTGGTTTCGTCCCCTCGGCGGCTGGCTCTCTTCAGTCCGCTCTGGGGTCCCCCGGCGTGGGAGGGGGCCTGTCCTGTCAGAGGCGCTCGATGTCTCTGTATTTCTTGCGCAGGATGGAGACCTGGTCCTTAAACAGAACAGGGTCCAGTCTCATTTGGGAGTGGACGAGGGGCATGGCGCCAAACCAGCTGGCGAATTTGTTCATGCAGGTCTGCCTCTGGGCGAAGTGGTCGGGGTCGGCCCATCGCGACGCCCGAGAAGACTGCAGAAGAAGAAGAAGAAGAAGAAGAAGAGGTCAGGGGAAGTTAAACAGTGAAGTGCATTTGTGTTTGAACTGACTGCAGCAGGTACATCATCAGTGGTGGAAGAAGTACTCAACTCAAACCAGAGAGAAGAAATACTCAAGTATGAGAAATCTACTCACATAAAAGTATTAAAGTACCAGTTTAAAAATGTACTAAAAGAGTAAAAATTTTAAGCATTTTGTGCAGCTTGTGAGATCTAATAAAAGTTCAAATGTAGTGATTTTGATCAAGATTTGTGCTGAATTTTGTTCAATAGAAATATTTGAATAATTTTCTTTCTTAAGTACAGTACTACTACTACTACTTTTACTTCATTATGTTCTGTCATTAGTATTCATATGATGGATGATGGATGCAAAATTTTTTTTTTATTAATATATATGTATATTGTTTTATGGGATCTTGAAATGACCAAAAGGACGAGATCACGGATACAAGCAGTTGATATGAGTTTCGTCTGTAGGGTGGCTGGGCGCTCCCTTAGAGACAGGGTGAGGAGCTCGGTCACACGGGAGGAGCTCGGAGTAGAGCCGTTGGTCCTCCACGTCGAGAGGAGCCAGTTGAGGTGGCTCGGGCATCTGTTCCGGATGCCTCCTGGGCATCTCTCTCGGGAGGTGTTCTGGGCATGTCCCACCGGGAAGAGGCCCCGGGAAAGACCCAAGACACGCTGGAGGGACTATGTCTCTCGGCTGGCCTGGGAACACCTTGAGGTCCCCCCGGAGGAGCTGGAGGACGTGTCTGGGGTGAAGGAAGTCTGGGAGTCTCTGCTTAGACTGCTGCCCCCGTGACCCGGCCCCGGATAAAGCAGAAGAAAATGGATGGATGGGCTCTTGTAAGAGTATGTTTAGTTATGATATTCTTACCTATTGATTGATGCTTTTTATTTATTTGAATTGGGACTGAACTGGCTGAAGTTGCAATAGCCATGACATAATTTCAGCAATCTTACCTGGACTGCAAGTAACTGACCAGTGCGTATCAGTGTAAATGGTTTAAAAAACATCAAACTAAGCCTAAATGGACAGGTGATATTTTGTCCTATGTAAACTAAAACAACTCTTTCTTGAATTTTGCTATTATTACAGTGCCAATAGAAGTCAAACAATGCAGCTTCCACTTCTACAATCATCTACTTGTGTGTAATTGAGTGATATGGTCAAAGAAACAAGCCATTTCTTTCTCAAACTGATTCTAATTTTCGGATCGTTTTCAATGACAAAAAAGTAAAATCCAATTCATAATGTAGAGACTCCAAACATGATTTAACTGATAAAGGATTATTTGGTTCTCTTAAAAAGACTCAATCTGACCACTGACGATTTGAAATGATTGGATTTTGATTCCAGTTTTACTTTATTTTTACTGTTGAATGGCAGCAAATAGGGGCTGTTTTCGGTTTTCAGAGTTACAAGTTAAAGTTTTGTTTTACAGTACTAAAAAAAGATATGTTTTTGTAAAGAGTCTTGGACAGGTTTGAATTGAATCGCATTTGTCTCTCAGTGTGAAGTGTTCAGACAGCCCTGCTCCTGTGGCTCTGCTCAGACACACTGTTTACAGCAGCTCTTTGACCTGAACTTTTAAAGGGAATCATTCATGCGCTTCTCCAGCTGTGTGAGGGACCAGGGCTCAGACATGAGACAAAACTACAGCTACAGAGGGACACTTAGATCTTCACTCTAGTGTAGTGTTGTCAAAAAGTAGGGGGTGTTATAGGATTTTTTTTGTCACATTTTACATCATTAGAAAACATAACCTGAGCATGAGGGCTTGAAGAATCAGAGAGAACACAAATACAGGTATGGACAAAAGGCTTTAAGTCTCAAGGAGTTGATCAATCATAATATAAACTCCTCTATCTGTGACTAGTACTTAGTTGCAGTATGGCTTTATATACTGAAATACTTTATACACTGATTAATTACTGTATTTTTCTAACTTTAATAATTCATACTTTTTTCGTGGTTTGGGTGGCTCTGCGGCTTATACTCTGGTGCGACTTATATATTAAAATTTTCACACTGACAGCCGTGAGAGGGCGCTGTAGGCTTGTGTGACAATATCTGTTACTACTATTACTCCTGTACCACTGTCATTTTATTGGCTCTACTGCGCATGTCTCCTGCAGAAAGAGCCTCTGTCCTGCTGCAAGTGGTGAAATATGCAGCTGAAAATGATAATCGAGCAGCAGAAGGAAAGTTTGGAGTTAGCGAGAAACTTGTGAGGGACTGGCGGAAAGCGGCAACTGGGAGGGTGCACCGTGCAGCTTTCCTGGAAGTCACTGGATGAATCGACAAATCCTGAACTTCAAAGACAATCGAAACCATCCTGTCGGGATTCAGAAAGGCCAGAATATTTCTAACTGGGACTGTTGCTGAATCTGACGACAGTTATGCAAAAGAAGAAGTGTCGCTCCGTTTACCTCTGGAGGTCGAGGACGAGTTGCTCAGAAGTGACACGGAGGATGAAGAATTGAATGGATTTAGTGATTTGGAGTGAGATGGAGAGTTTGTTCTGTTCTGTTGTTTATGTTATAGTTATCTGAAGAACAGTTTATATGTGACGTTAACAGTCTGTTGTTCTCTCTTCTATTGTTATTACTGTAACTTGCCTTTCAAGATGAAATGTCGGTTCCTGGTCTCTGGTTTTATAAAATAAATTTCCCCTGAAAAGTGCGACTTATAGTCCAGTGTGATTTAAATGTTTTTTTCTTTTTCATTATGCATTTTTTGGCTGGTGCAACTGATACTCCAGAGCGACTTCTAGTCCGAAAAATGCGGTAATAGTTATTGCAGTTTCACAGTGGCCACTTTTGACATGCAAAATTTTCTGTCAACCTCTGACCACAATAAAGAAAGTTTGAAGTCTCTTTTTTTCCTTAAGATTTAATCCTGTTCTAGTCTTGGTTTATTTTCGGGTTTAGTCCCAGTTTAGTCCCTGTGCTGATGTCGTGAGTGGGTATGGCAGGTAAAACTGTATATACATTTGCATCACGTATGGGGCCTTTATTATACTGTTAAGTTCAGATATGGGTAAAAATAAATTAAGGTTTAGGTTAAAGTTAGGATCGCTCTCCAGGAGTCGATGTAATGTCCTTATGTAACTGTTAAACCCTCAGCCTCAGTGACTGGACTAAACTCTAGTGACATGGTCCTTTACCTGTCCCATCATGGTCTCCTTGTACTGCTTCTTCTGCGTGACTTTGATGGGGGGCAGTTTGGTTACCGCGGAGACCAGGAAGTTCATCAGGATGTCCTCGCAGTTGGCCAGCTGGTCCACCATGGTCTTCAAGCTCAGAGGCAAGAAGTGTGTGTACAGGAAGTGGTAATACCTGGAGTAAAGCAACAAAAGTATTACACAACAACGCCTTACACAGTACATACATCTGCTGGTGGGGACGTTTGTTTATTTCAGATCTATATATGACAAATTAACATATGGAAGGTAATTTGTTTCATTAGATTTAGAATTTTAAATACTGCTGAATTTCTCACTTTGATTTTTTTTTTTTTATTGCTGAAATTTTAAGTATACTTTTTCAATTCAACCGTCAAAATTCAGTGTAAAATTCGCATCTCATCTGTGTTTGGGGTTTACACTTAAGAAATAAAATGAGATGAGGCTAATTCTGACCATTCAAAGTGCTTCACTGCACCATTTCCTGTTTGTTACTAAGTTAGATCGATCTAGTATCTTTCCTGTGAATTTTTTTCACTGCGAATTTTACACTCTGAATTTTGATTATAGAATTTTTGGGCTTGAAAAAACATTTGTGCTGAATATTTATAAGTTTATATTTGTTTGTTTATACTGAATTTTAAACACTTAGAAAAAGTATACTTAAAATTTCAGCAACTAAAATTCAGAATAAAAATAATTCAGTGTTAAAAAATTCTAAGTATGCATTTAAAATTCCAAAATCTGATGAAACAAATTATCTTCCATATTCCCAGCAATCATATACACAAATAGAAAATCAGCCTGGTTTGAAGTTAAAGTTTTGTAGTGCAATCAAATCAATACTGCTGTTGTGTCTTTGGGCAGTACACATTTCGATTGTGGCTTTAATAATAATAATGCATTAGTATTATCTTGCTTTCCTAGACATTTGAACTCACTTTTGACACTTTTGACACAATTTCTTGCATTAATTGTTCACTCCAGATTCTGTGGTGGTCAGTAACTTCTGCAGCCACAACTGCCCTGAGGTAGACTGACAAAAATGAGGCTGCACCATCATTCAAACACCACATTAATACATATAAGGGGTTGTTGGACACTGCTGCCTTTGTGTATAACTTTCTTTTACCAACAAATTCCAACTAAAACCTGATCATGCACGCAAATGTTTGTCTGCTGTTTAAGATCAATCTTGGCACTGCTGCTCTAAAACAGTTTGTTTCTCTGAGCACTGAAACCAACTCCCGAGCCGCCCGATCCAATGTGCGCGCGAGTGCAGGATCCCCAAACGCAGGACAGCATTTGGAAACTCGGCCTTTTCATGCGCGGCCAGTCAGTGGAACATGTTACCAACAGAGATGATCACATGTACAAACTATGGCACATTTTCACACCTGGAGAAACAGTGGCTCCTCCCAAACCAAACCTGTGCCCATAGTGTGAACTGATGAGTGTCTGGAGAGAGTGTGATGCTCTGAAGTGAATGAACTGAATGTTGCTTTTGATAAGGATGATGTTTTTAAGATGCTGAGAGAAGTGGGAGTGATTGATAATACAGAATTGTTATGATGCCCCGGACATTATAAACACATTCTCTTTGTATGTTTGATTATGAACTATAACATCAACCTGCCCAGGAACTACAGGTGGAAATGAGCTCTAGTGTTACAGCCTGGTACAAAGCATCTCTCCGGTTAAGGTTAATGTAGATTGTGTACTGTCTCTGTCTCATTAAATAAATAAACTAAACTATTTCCTTATTATATTGTATAAAACATATATTTTCCATAATATTTCTTTATATCTTGCTCCTAAAGGTTCACTATGTAACTTTTATTTTTTATTTTTTTCCAAATATTTTTATTAGGAACATTAAAAGAAAATATACAATATACGATGAAGTTGTAATAATAGGAATGTCTTTTTTATATATAAAAACATCCCCATCCCAACCCATCTCAGCTTGTCATTTAAACCACATAAATAGCACCAGCAATTAAATATTAAATATTCCAAATTACAGCTATAACAGGTTATAATTACAACTACAACAGGCAGGTACTGGTACGACTATGTAAGTTTTCTAGTATTGTATTGGTTTCCTGCAACGCTGCACAGTTTGCCATTAAATGTATCTCCATGGAGAGGAGCAGCAGATGTCACCAAGCCAAGTTACAGGTCAGATCTGTGGAGAGCTGATTCCACTCACAGTAAGAATGCATGTTTTCAATGTATAGTTTGACCAATAAAAAAACATCTATTTAAATAAACACATGCTAGATAACTTTAATGCCATACTGTGGAACATTGCAGGCAAAGCAATAACATCTCCATGGTGACAGCCCTCTGCCGGAAGAGTTACCTCCTGTACCTTTAATGACATTTATTATATTCCAGTGTTATATTTTGGACTGAAGGTGTGTCTTATTGAAAGTGATGAGGCGTTGCTGAGCCCTGATTGGCTGACTCCAGATTAATGGACTGTCCCCGTCTCATCACAGTGAAGTGGATTAAACCTGACACAGCTGCAGTTCAAACGCGGGACACAGGGGGCGCTCCAGCTGTGACATTTTGGCATAAAAGGTGCCCATTGTCGGGGAAGTTTTCCGGAGGCAGTGCACCACAAAGACCACAGTTTGTGCAATCTGAACATCGGCTTCAAACAGCCTTATCAAAACCACACAAGAGGAAAGGGGGAGAGAGGGGAGAGGACAGAAAAGAGGCTGTGATCTGCTACGACTTGAAGAAAATACTGAAAGAAAAAAAAAAAATACAAAAACCACCAAGACCAAGGAGACGACAGGAAGATATAGAAAACATATGTGAGATTGTCAAATTGAGTAAGCACAGAGGCTGTGTAAAGAAACTAAATATCTTAACACATGGTAAGAAGATTTTATGAATAAACTGCATGTAATTTCAAGAAAACAAATTTCTCGAGGAAGATGTTTGAATCATTCCATTATTTTGTGTTGGAAGCTGCACTGAGGAAGACACACTGTCCATGTCTTAATGAAGATCTTTGTCCACCGACTATTCATGCACATCAGTTACACTTTTCATCACTTAAAAGATATATTTTGTTTTTAATTGTTGATTTCTGTAGCAACTAATAATAAATACAGACCTAAATTTGTATCATTCTGAAATTGGATGGATAGATTTCCTCACAAGTTTTATCAACAAAAAAATAATGTTCACAAGTTCCTTCAACATGTTTTTTTCTGCCGTGGTTTAGCAGCTGATGACGAAGATGCAAGTTTGGAATTTATGAACTAGTAATGGCAGTGATAAACAATCTATCTGACTGTCTAACTATACCACAAATGTAACTACTGTGTACTCATCTGCTCAAACATCTCACCATTGCTTTTTCCGATTTATAAGCAGATTTTGTGTATGTACCTGTGATAAATGGCCGCCCCGGTGAGGACCATGGAGTAGTCGTTGGTCCATTTGGACGTGTAGCCCCAGCGCTCTTTGTTACTGTCCCAGAAGTGACTCCGAGCCGGGTAGCCCACGATCCGCTCCGGAAAACTCTGCCACACGGTGAAGGCAAAGTCCACCTGGAAACACGGCAAGAGGAACATTAGACAAAATTCAGGTATCCATGAGTTGGTCACAGTGATTCAACTGTACAACAAACAAACAGAAACGTGATAAAACATGGATTGGGAAAGATTGTACCGTATTTTCCGGACTATTGAGCGCACCTGAATATAAGTCGCATCTATGAAATTTTAACAAATTTTTTAAATTGTACATATATAGACCACACCTGAATATAAACCGCAGGTGTCCACGTCTTCAAGAACGTTATCAAGGGCCATCTGCTTTTATTGCCTCAAAGTTTTTGTCGTCTTTTTGCATTGAGTCAGTTTGTCACGCTGCCATTAACAACGTCTCACCATTGATTCATTGATGCCGAGCTCACGTGCAGCAGCTCTGTTTTCTTCTTCCACAGCCACATCAATCACCGTTAACTTAAAAGCTGCATCATCCGTGTTTCTTTGTGTTTTCCATGAGGAGGGCGTGAGCATGACGTGCAAAATAACTGTTCAAAACTTCCTCAGTGCATCACCCCCGTCTCGCCCCGCTGTGCATGTCTCCTGCAGAAAGAGCCTCTGTTCTGTCTGTATCAAGTCAGAGTCTTGGAGGATTTCAGCAGATTTCAGACTCTCTCGGGGGCGGGGCTAGTTCTGTCAATCAGGTATGAGTGGATGTTCAGCTACTAAAGTTTGAGACGATTCTTCTCGTCATTTACGCCTATGGGTAAGACCTATCCTCCTCACTAATGTTCATTTAGCATCATTAACTTATTTTATGACACAGTGATGAACTATTTGACAATATCAGTAGCTAGTGTAGAACAGACAGTGGCGCTTTCTGCACTCAGGCTGCACGTATCTACTGTGTTTCCAAATCATAGACCATATATATGAATCGACAATGAGCCAAACATAGAATCTGTGCATATATTCACCGCATCATTTTATTAGCCGCAGGGTTCAAAGTGTGAGAAAATAGTAGCAGCTTATAGTCCCAAATTTACGGTAAATATATAAATAGCCAATAAGAACAGAGAGAACTAAACAATATATTCATGTGTTATGGCATGTTGTTTACATTGTAATTTTAAGAGTTATGAAAAATTAGCATCGTCATTTTTCATAACTCTGAAACGCATGAATACACCAAGGTGGAGTAATTATAATATAAATAATAATGAGATTACTGTACACCACTAAAAATAAGTCGCCACATAAATATGAAGTTTTGGACTGTGCATACAATTTCCAATAATAACAAAATAGTAAAAAAATATATTATTTAATTAAAATTTTCCCCATTTACACAGATTAGACAAAGTAACGGAATACACTCACATCCTATCACTACAGGCTATTACAGCAGAATCAAGAATTCACATATAAGTCTATACATCTATGTTTTTGAATTAGGAAAAAAGGTTATAATTATATAAATATAAGACCAAACTACACAATTTGCCTTACAAGAATTCACTGAAACCATTATCTTGATTGAATAAGACGTGTGACAAAAAAGCATGTAAAACCATCTCTAGTTTCTTTTTTTTTTTTCTTTCTAACTCCTGAATCTCGGATGCGTTTGTGATTGATCGGGCTTTGGGTCGATTTGGTTTTGTTTGGATTCTCCCTTCGGCTAAAACAGACTTTATGAGATCCAACTCTGATCTGTTCAAAGCAGCATCTGGCTTCCTCTGGTGCCGCGCCAAAATATGTCCCCGGGAAACAAGAGTCCCACCAGCACATAGAATAAGCATGCAACACAGAGAGGATCAGTCACAAAAAAGGGAAAGACAAGTTGAAAGTTATGCATGAAGATGAAAATTTATCTTTAACTCTCCAATATTACTCTCCTATATTACGCCAAATGGATTCCTGTGAGCTTTAAGTCATGTTATAATGTTGTTACCATCAAAAAAACATATCTAGAGTTGTGTTTTGTTTCATTCACACTTAATTGAGTCATTATCAGTCTGTCTTCGTCTCTAAAGCTTACAATGCTCTGTTCCACCTTATGATGTCATGAAGAGGTTGTTTTCTAGAGCATTTTCTGTTTGAGAGAAGAACTCAGCCTAAATATGTAGGGTTTGTGTGTTAAACATATGTCAATGAAACAAAACACAACTCCAGGTATATTTTTGATGAAGAAACAACATTATAATCTAGATCAGAAAATATAATATGGGCCCTTTAACTACTATATCCATGGAGATACGCAGATGATACAACCAAGCCAAGTTACCATATTTTCCGTACTATAGGGCGCACTTAAAAGCCTTTAATTTCATCCAAAAATGACTGCCTGTCTTATAATCCAGAACCCCTTATATATGAATTTATTGGGGTGTCTTAGTACGACTTTAGTAAACTACAAAGTCGCACCTCTTGCAGCATTACGGCTCCCGTAGTCAGGAGCATTGCGGAGTAATACATATTGTAATTGCTTTTAATATCAAAATGCACCTGTCAAGAGACACGCTTACAACGCCGACTTCAAACTCAAGGCTATTATAAGGTTAAACTGTGAGCTGTGTGGGAGCAGTGGATGAGAAAAGGTGAACACACATTCACCAAGACAGAGAGACAGCGCCGAGCGACTTACGCCACGATCTGCCAACGGATCGTGGACGCCTGGACTAAGGATCAGTATCAACTGTGGTCCAAGCTTTCACCAAGACAGGAATCATCACTGAACTGCCAGGTAACAGTAACCACACTGACTCGGATAATGACGAGAGGGATGTGCGCGTGCTGGACGCCGTAATCGCCCAACTGTTTGAACAATTATGATTTACTGTGAATACACTAACAATTTAGCGCTGTCAGACAGTTTTTTTTTTCCTCGTTACAATTGAACAAAATTGAGAGTTATTGTGAACGCGTTAAATAAAGTTTGACTGACTTATCTAACTGTTGTGTTTCGTTTAATTCGTCTTATAGTCTGGTGCGGTTTATATGTGAAAAATGTTCGAAAATAGACCATTCAATGACCGTGTGCCTTATAATCCAGAGCGCTCTATAGTGCAGAAAACACAGTACAGGTCAGATGTGTGGAGAGGCAACCCCATTCATACTAAAAATGAATGTATTTTTCAGCAACACTTGGACATGTTCAGAGAAAGGAGAGTGAATATACGTTTAGAAGAATGCTGAGATTAGAGTGGCCGGAAACAGGAAAACCAAAGAGAGAAATAGGACATAAATAGTGTTATAGTGTTTTGTACCTCGGTGGTGGAGAGTACTGTGTCTTCGTCCAAACTCAAAACAGCATCCGTCATAATGATATCATACGGCAGGAACCGGCTGCTCATCACCTGCAAGGGGAGACAGAGAGACAGCAGCCTTAACATCAATGACATATTCATAGCCTTAGATCAATAAATTCTTGCAGGTTTTAGATTTAGCGAAATGTATGTACAGAAACAAACAGAAACAAACAAATAGTAACTAAATTAAAACAAGAAAACTATTGTAACCTTCTCCCAGTGATGCTCTGCACACTCTGATCTTCTATTGCGTGAGTCTTAACACCTTATACATTAATATGCACTAATACACAGTTTCTATGTATAGCCCTTATATTACATTCACCACCTGACAGATGGGTGAGCTGGTGAGATATGTTAAGAAATCTGAGCCAAGAACAGACACACAATGTACCTTCAAGGAGGTGAATACATGCTTGTATTAGTTGAAAAAGTTCTGGGTGTTAAAAGGTCTTGCAACTTTGCTACTGTGCATCTGATTATATCAATACGTGCCAATGGAGTAAAAGTGCAAAAACAATTTACAACATAACAAAATTAACCATAAGGTGCATTTAACAAGACTTACAATTGCTGTTTTCAAAACACAAATATGTTAATATATATATATATATATATATATATATATATATATATATATATATATATATATATATATATATATATATATATATATAAACAAATTTGACTCTCGTGAGGTTTAAGCCATGTTAAAATGAACCTGGAGTTGTGTTTTGTTTCATTCACATAAGTTTGAGTAACCTTTTATTATTAGTCGTCTTCTTCTCTAAAGCTCACAATGCTCTGTTCCACTTTGTGATGTCATGAAGTGGTCGTTTTCAAGTTCGACACCTGTCTTTCACCTTTTCAATTCAGTTCAGTAGAGATTGGCATTTCCAGGGCTGAAATTATCAAAATTATTCTAGAGAAGATGTATGGAGTTTAAAAACACAGTGGAGCATTACCGCATGACATTAAAAGAAGGAACAGGGGGTTTTCAGTTTAAAGTTGCACTGTGTAACTTCTATGGTAGAGGGCCTGCCAGTTACGTGCCTCCAGTCTCCATAGAAACAAGCAGGAGACGCCACAAAGCCAATTTACAGGTGAGATCTGTGAAGAGGTGACCTCGCTCACAGTCCAAATGCATGTTTTTAAATGTATTTTTGTGTAATAAAAATAGCCAGAATTGAATCCATGCATCTTATATAAGTCAGGTTATCTACAGGTTTGACTACCCCAAATTTAAGACTTTTTAAGACCACTTAAATGAAAACTAAGATCAACATCGCACCCATTATGCGGGCAAAAAACACCAGCTCCAATTCTAATAATGACCATTACTCACTGCTTTAAATAACAAAGAATACTTTCATTATAAATTCTTATTCAGAACTTTATTTATAGTAGTATGCATTGCTTCTAAAATGGCCAAAAAATCATTCATAACATTCAAACAAGACAAACTAAGTATTGTTTGTGCATACTCCAAATTAGACATTTATTCATGTGATTTCACAATGTTGTTTAGTTTTTTCCTCCCTCTGTTTAATATTACACTGCAGACCGGTTGAGTACACAAAATAGGCTAATGAAATTTAAGACCTTTATGAAAAAAATAAGACAACATAATTTGAGACTTTTTAAGGCATTAATTTAGGAACATGAAATTTAAGACCTTTTTAAGACTTTTAAGACCCTGCGGCTACCCTGTAAGTTTAATACCATATTGTGGTAAAGCAGGTAAAGCAGAAGCATCTCCATTTATAGAGGACTTAAACTCCTAAACTTTAAGAGAAAAACTGAAAATAGGTTTGTTTTTGAGGAGGAAACAACATTATAACAGAGACCAGAAAACAGCGTCTTCCTTGCAGCCCTGGTATGAGCACATGAAACAACTCCGACGATCAAACTTCTGCCAAAGTCTTACACAAAGATTTACAAATAAGCCCCCTAAAAGATACTGCAAATGTCTCTACAAGCATTCAGATCCCCAGTACAGTTGTTTTAGCATTTTTTTTAAATCAATACGAAGCAGCGCCAGCTAACACAGTGACTCATGTCCGCTCTGGGCACAAACAGACCTCCGACTCACCGTAAACAACACAGTGGCTAAACATGTTACACCACGGCTCATATGAATATTTAGGGGAAGTGAGTTTCCCGCGGCGACGGGGCTGAGTAGGCGGGGTCTAGGTTCAAACGTCTCCAGGACATGTAGACGATGACTGTTTGGGATACTGAGAAAAACCACCCACTCACAGAACACACAAGGAAATGTAATAGGGTTTAACGCCAAGGTCAGTGCGCTCAGAAAACACCTGGACTCAATACAGTCATGTGATCAGTGCAGGCAAAACGAAGATACAGCACGCCTAAAATACACAGTACTAATTAGGGGTGTGCAAAAATATCAAAATATCAACATACTGTATTGTTTAATGTGATGATACAGTATAAGTATTGTGGGCTGCTGTATCAATATATCGGCAAGAGTATTTTTTGTTATATTTTACTAAATGATTTTGTTACAAAGCTACAGATTTGCTGCTTGTTCAGTGAAAGGAAACTCGTTTACGTAACACATTTGACATTTTCACTGTTTTGATGATTAAAATGTTTGTGTTTCACATACATTTTGCACAAGAAGTGCTTTAAGACTTTTAGTATCACAGTCATAATTTAGCCTTTATTTTTTTATTGAACCGTATTGAGTCGATTTGAAATATATCATACTGAATTGAAAGTGCACTGAATCAAGATATGTATCGTATCATGGCCTGTGTATCAAGGTATGCAGCTTCTTAATGATACCCAGCCCTAGTACTAATATATACTTCTAGATGTAGTTTAAAGCTGCACTATGGAACCTTTATGATGTAGGACCCAACTCATTTCCCTGATGGATAACTCCGCTGTTTCCATGGAGATGTTATAGTTTTGCCAGAGATGTTCCCAGGCATGGCATTAAATGTAGTTAATATGATTATCTGAGATTCAGGAGCAAAGGATCATGGTCTATGAAGTTCCCCCTGTCCTTTTTTAGCTATTGCTGCACCATAACTCCTAATTTAAGCAAAGAGACTTGTAATTCGATATATTGTGATGGTCCACGATATTATTGTGAGAACTTTGATGATACGATATCACGATATTTCAGTTATTGTTACATCCCTAGTCTCTATCTCCATGGAGACACCACTAGGCCAAGTATAATCATTGGTGGTCAAAGCTACATAACTATAGAACCGAGTAGGATCATCTCCTTCCAGCTTCCTTATTTTGAGTTATTTAGAGTTTATTTTTTGTTTACTACATTCCATATGTGCTCATTATTGTGGCCGTATAAGCACGTCAGAGTCTGATCTCGTCAAATCTCAGAGGCTAAGCAGCGAAGGGCCTGGGCAGTATTTGGAAGGGAGACCGCTGGAAATAGCAGGTGCCACAGTGGTGACCGGTCATGTGTGTGTACTTTTGACTGGTCATGTGGGTTGTTTTCACACAGTGGATGTATAAAAACCCAGGTAACCTCCCAGACTCACATGGGCCGCTGCAAACCTGTACAAATATATCACTGGTGACATGAAGAGCAACAGAGGAGGAGAGTTTTGTTGACAGAATAACTCTTGTTAATTTTAGTCTCTGTGGCTGAGGCAGGTGAGGAAATTGTAATGTGTTTATTGATTGGGGGCCTATAGGAACCCACTGACCTTTTGAAATAGTATTATGGGATGTGCAGACACAGAATACAAATGCTGGCTGCTGCAGTGGCATGGAGAATTTATATCATTGGTAATAAAACAGGGAAAGGCAAAGGAACATTTAGAGCAGGGGTGTCAAACTCATTTTGGTCCAGGGGCCGTATCCAACCTACTTTGATCTCAAAGGGGCCGGATCAGAAAACTCATGTCATATAAACCCCAAAAATAACAATAAGTTCAAATATTTGTGCAGAGAAATGCAAATCTATTACAGAAATCTTTTTTAATTGATTAACTCTTTCTTATTATAATATTAAATATTATGAACAACCTGAAACTTTAAGAAAAATTCTATTTCAACACAATGTTTTAACATTAACTTGTATGCAAACAGGAATAAGTCAGTTTTTCTTGGAAAATCCTGCACTCGGCATCTACTTTTCTCATTTTGGACATTATGCTGATGAGGGTGTCACGGTCAACAGTCAAAACGATCGTCCTTTAAGAGCGTTTGGAAAGAGACAAGTCTTCATTTGTGCTGCTCTGGTGGGAGGGGCCACGCACAGAGACGCTGGAGACGCTGCTATGCTCAGCACCACAGAAAATTACCAATATTTTAATAGAAAATATAATTCATATATTTTAGTAGAAAATCACCCAAGGGCCACATTAAAGGTCTTGGAGGGCCGGATCTGGCCCCCGGGCCTTATGTTTGACACCTGTGATTTGGAGAGTAGACGTGTTACTACAGGGCATGTTCAACTTCAGCAGTAATCCACAAAAAACATTTCAAACAAACTTACATTTTGTTTGGAGAAAATGTTAAAATATGAGCCAATAAAATCAGGGTTTTAATGGCTTATTGTTATAAACGCCTAGTATTTGTTATCTTGACTGTTTAAGTGGCTTTTCTGCCATTTTTTATCCGACACTGCTTTGTTTTCCACTGACTTGTCTCCATGGAGATGTTATTGCTTTGTCTGAGATTTTTCACAACATGCTTTGCCCTAGATTCCACAATATACCTTTAAAGTAACTGGAGGCAAACAGATAATACCAGGTCAGATCTATGGAGAGGCAAGAATATCAGTGTTTTGTTAATTTTGTGCAGCCATAATGAAACAAGAGTGTTGAACAGAAGCATTTGGATCCAGTCAAATGAAGCTCATCGATGCTTGCAGTTATAGGGACAAATTTGGAGCAGAGTTCCGTATTTGGAATTCTGACCATGAGTATCATAGCAACCAAAGAGCCAATCAGGAGAGACGGTGCTGAAGTTAATGTCCCTTCCTGCCACAACACTGGTTTAGCAGGGAGCATGCCCTCAGCCTGATTCATCAGCCGGTTTTA